GTCAAACTTCTTTTTGATAGAAATGGCAGTGAAGACGACTTTTTGCAAGAGGTATGCCTTGAAATGCAGGTTCCCCTTATTATTTGAAAAATTCTCAACTCTTGTTTTCTTTTCACGAAAGTTAAGCGTGGGCGCGACAATGGTTTCGAAACTCCAGGGTCCGTCGTCGCAAAAGATGTGTATCGTGGGTGTATCACGCTTAATGACTACAGGCAAACATATCCTGGTCATGGATTTTGCCGATCTTGGGGATTTGACTACCTTCTTGCGCAAAAATCCTGACCTCTCGTGGAGTCGCAAGTTACAGATTCTTTTAAAACTGGCCACAAGCTTGGAAGAGTTCCATAATGCCGGAATGATCCACCGAGATATCCATGGAGGGAACGTCCTTGTTGAGAGTAGAGAAAATAATGCGGATCTCACCGATTATGGGCTTTCAATTCACAAAGATGATGCTGAGAAGCATAAGGAAGTATTTGGAGTGATGCCATATGTTGCGCCAGAGGTTCTTGGTGGTAAACCGTACACACAGGTATTTGTTAAAATTTACTTCGTGTGTGCAATGTCACTGTCCACATACACATTATTCAACACATTCTTACAATATTGTTCTTCAGAGTGCAGATATTTATGCATTTGGACTCATAATGTGGATGTTTGAAATGGAAGACACTCCATTCAAGAATAGAGCTCATGATTTGTCTTTAGCCCAAAGTATTTGCCAAGGTGCTAGACCGGAATTGAGCCCGTGGGCGCCAGAATTCTACAGAATCATCTACAAGAGATGCGTTGATCCTGACCCGGAAAAGCGTCCATCCGCTCACAACCTTTTTTTCAATATAAACCAGTGGAATCAAGATTATAACCGGGAGTATATTCCAGCACTTGAGAGGGCTAGGAACATGCTAAAAAATCATCGTGCCAAGTTAACAGAGAAACCAGCTCATCCCGAAGCAGTTTACTTCAGTAGAGTATTTAACTTTGAAAGTCTCCGGATAAATGTAGATGGAAGCGATCACGGTAAGGCCTTCTTGTTAAATCTTTTATAAGCTAGCGTAATGTCAATTTATTAACCTGACGCTTTATATGCCATTGACCAGATTCAAATCGGGTCGGTCCTGCAATTTCTAATGAAGAAATAACATTTGGTACGTAATAATATGTTCAGAGATATTGGCACGTCGGTCTTCTTGACATCATGTTGATTATCATTTATTTTTGAATAGATTCCAAACAACTTGACTTGTTTATTCCGGATATGTAGTTATCGAATACAACATATACGGTATTGTAGAACAACCAGTCAATTTTGTTATTGTATTATTTTCAATGGTTCGTAGAACAGGATCCAAATAGACGTTAGCATGTGGTTAATTATAATTGATTGAAAGTACATGAATGGATAAATTCGTACCTTTTTAGATTCTGTTAGTGACATATATAGTATTGAACGGTACAACAAAAAATAAAGAATTAAGGTGTAATGCACAGTGACACTGGAAATTATTTGTATTTCATAGTAGGCTAATCATTGAATTGGTGTCCATAATTTCACGATTATGCATGATGGTGCCCCTACTAAAAAATACTTGCTATTGCGTAATATATGGACGTTCGCTTTCGCATAAGCATATTTTTCGGCGTTTGTTTGCAGATGAAACAGCGAGTCTCCTTTGCTACGTTATTTGCATCTTAACCAGAAAGCCCACATTCAATATTTACTTCGCGTTACGAGAAAATGTCAACTTTGCCTCTGCCGATTTTATTTGACGATTGACATACAGTGTGACACGACATTGATAATAAAAAAGAGACTATTGCTAGTTAACAACTGCATATCAATAACGATAATAATTTGTTTGATAACTTATGACAAGGAGTTTTACCTAAAAATTTTAATATGAAAATTTGTTTTCTCCAATTTCTTGTAAATTTAATTGACATAGTTTTGGAATCAAACTCCATTCTCCACCATAAAACATGGCTAGTTTATCATAATTTTTTATCATACTGGTTTATTATTATTATTAATTTGTTTGTTTTTTTTTTTTAAAAAAAAAAAAAACAAACAAAAAACAATATTCCAAAAACTTTTAATGGATTAAGGGCCATCAATAATTTAGGGCAAGTTGGGTCATACTAATATGCATAGAATTATCTTGCTAAAACCAATATCTGTTCTGTTGCCCATCAAATTATTGACTTCTAGAATATGTTGTTGTTTTTTTTCATAAGATTTTGCATTCAAGTTGGTCGGGCCACTCGCGTTATTAACCCTCGTATTCTGTCTACCAAGCAACAACCATCGATATCAAAGCTACATATTATCATTACAGTAACTTCCTACGTTTGGGCAACTCAAAAGTACAGCCCAAGAAAAAGGGAAAAGCACTTTAAACAAAACATCGAAATAATTCTTGCTTCACATAAAGAATTACTCTGTGTCTGAGTGCTTCAAGTTTCCACGTACGCATGAGGTGCGTCGAACTGACCAAGAAATTGTAATGTACGAGAAGCACTTGATAATACGGAAAATCTCACACAAATCTAGTATTAGTATGGATAAAGCAGCATAGTTTGCCGGCTCATTATGCAATTATGGATAGTAACAACGACAACACAACAAAGGGATTAGCAAGCGTCTTGCTGCTATAATACCCCTGATAACACCTCCCAAGTTGGTTCTAAATGGGAAGTTTACGTGTCATTTCGGACTCGGATGCAAACGAGCAAATGGTCTTCAAAATAAGCGTAAAGATGAGAATTCACACTGTGTTGAACTATACACCGTACGAACAATATTTTTAACTCTCCATCCAAGCCCTGGTCCCTAATTCTCAAATACAGCCAATTGGAACAGCTTGTGTTAACAAAAGTGAGAGCGACTTTGGGGAAACATAAGAATATTTTCTGGCTAAATACCATATTTTCCCCTTCTACCAAGCTACAGTAAAAATTTTCTTCTTTTGCGATTAACAGGTCAAAAACAAATAAATTCACTTACAGTGTGTTACAAAAAAAATTGGAATTTTTCTTTTATAATATAGAAAATATGACAGAATTAGATAAAGTTTACAAATATATGTATTTTTGTACAAGCAACAAATTTACTTACGGCAATTTAATGAGTTATCTTATTAAAATGTCTAATTTCAAAAATTCGAAACTCAAAAAAATTTTGTTATTACTTGTATAAAACAAAAAAAACCTTTATTTTTACATAAAGATTCAAATATGTTCTTCATGTTGTTACAAACGAGTTTACTTAATATTAAAGTACTTAATATTAATTAAATACCTTAATAATTTTTTTATAAAAAATGGTTTTGTTGTTTTTGTTTTTTTTTTACTTATAATTACTTTTTCGATATTTTTTTTCCAAGATTAATTTATAAATTAAGAAAGATTTTAATAATCTATTAACCGTCCTTAAGTAAATTTGTTCTCTATATTATACAAAATATAATTATAAATTCTGGACAATTGGCTTTTTTTCATCACACAATAGACTAAAATATAATTCCAATTTTTTTTGTAACACACTGTATATCCGTGCTACTAGCTCCTTGGCTCGCCGGACCGTCTGCAAGCAACTCGTTCAGAGACTGTATATGTATTCCGGGTCTTGAATAAAGTCGCTTCGATCAAGTACCCTTCAGCAATTTTGAGCCTGATTTTGTAAGATGTTAGTCGATGTTATCCATTTATTACTCTATTAGCCAGCTACCATATATTGTATCAGTATCCTCCTCATAACATCTCTCTCAATACCATTAGTCACGTACGACTCACTGTAGACACTAATACTAGATAATTAATTATAATCATGGTTCCAACAAATAATTCTATCAGTATTACTGATTGACAAGCCTAGCTCTTATTTTACCCTTTCTATTCCCAAACACTTGCAATTTATCGTAGATAATATTGTTCATTTAGTGACACTCGCTGTCGCGTATTTTTGAAAGCTTACGGTATATAGAAAAGTCTGAAAGTGGGTAAATATTGTTCACTAGACGTAATCCATATGGAAGATTACTCATCATTGTACACGCGTATGTCTTTCCATTTACTTCGTTCCGCGTGAAAATTGCACTTGGTCGTCTTCATATTTATGATTCGTTAAGTTCAGCCTAAATAATACGCAAGGACATAATAATAATGTATATGTCTATCAAATACGTGAACTGTTACAGGGTTATAAGTTTTAATAAATGTCTCTCCATTTAGAGTTAAAATTTTACCTTAGATAATAATAAGGCATTGGGAAATGTTGTTCTATAATCGGATCATTTCCTTTTTGTCAATGTCTTAAATGGATAACTTTCGTTGATATACAAGGACTTTGACTAATTATACCTTAAACACAATAGGCAATCCATTTAATCATTTAGAAACGGACCTATTACTATTACTATGGCGATTTTTCTTCTGAATGGTCATACATAGGTAAACTCGATAAGTCGAACATATATATCATTAGTAGATGACTCGTATTCACGTGATTAAACAAAGATCTACATAAGATTTTTACTATTTTGGTAGAGATTATCCAATACTTTTTGTCAACGATCATCATTTAATTGATAATTTAAAGAAAATGTCTATACTAATACCTCATTATGTCATTGATGACTTTACTATTTCATTTGACGATTTAGAAAGACATTCTTGTAGTTTAAACAGATTCTTTATATCATTGATGATTGTATTTGATGATTTAGAAAAGACGTTCTTGTAATGTATAACAATTGTTCTGTTTATTAATAGATATATTAAAGGAAATTGTGTTATGATGAATCCTATTGGTCCCTCGATATATATAATCGTCACATGATATAAAAGAAAAAGTCTCTGTGCGCCGTCAAGATTCACCATACATAGTAAATAGCCTAATAATGATCGACCGACTTTCCTTTTTTATCACATGCATGACTTTTATAATACTTTTGATCATACTTATTTCCTCTCATACTAATACCTTCTCCCTTCCGCCATCGATGACCGTAACCGCCTCAGACGAGACAGCATTCGACGAGGGATCAACTTGGGGCATTGTACTTCGGGATGTCTTCTCAAAGTCGGTGGACTTTTTCCATCGCATGCTGCCTGTCTATGAGCAGTTGGATTTGGAAGGAAGGTCGGATATACCAGAGTTCCACCCTTCCATATGGAACTTCTTCTGGTCACCCAACTTGTATCTTGCTGTCTTTGTGGTATGAGCATTTAATGTGTCACTAGCAATAGTTTAGAGGAAGCGGGAAAGAAGAAGAACAAAAAACTGACAACCTGAGACATGAATTAACAGAATGAATTTCTCACAAATATCTGTAGAATGTATTGAATAATAGAATTAATGCTATAATTGCGCCTCGTACACCAAGACCGCTGCCAACATACATTCGATTCGCAATACGATTGCCATGTTTTTATTTGATGATAAAATCAGCATTAGTTCTGATTGCTTGTATTGCAGACGAGAGGCAATGGACACAAGAGTATATGAGTAGTCTGCTTAAAGGCTACAGCATGGAGTATACCGATGCACAAGCTTTGTGGTTATGTTTAAAGTCTCTGTCAGCGGTTTATGTTATGAAACAATTTCATTCAAGCATGGAGAACAGGAGGTGAGTCAGTTGGTCGACGTGTATACGGTTGTAGATTTTAAAGGGGTTATTGTTTACGTGTATCGTAAATGGCTTGTGAGTCGTTGTTGGGTTTACGATAGTTAGTTGGAGTTTTGAGCGAATTGGCATGTTTTTTCCTAGAGGTTGATGCAGATGGTTTGAAAGTGATAGTTTGTTCGCTGACCGTACATGTGAAACGGGTCTCGAAACAAAAGGAGATCTTTATGTTAGGATTAATATCAAGGCTTGTTTAGCTCGATTTTATTGGTTGCTAGGCTTGATTGCACATGAACAATCTGTACTTGCTTACATCCTTACTAATCTTTTTTTTTAGTCTCCCAGGGCGAGAACAAGCAACTAATCTGTATGAATGGGCTCTCTTATTCCACTTATACGTCTCTAATCGTCATCCGAATACCGATCTGCTTCTAATAGCGCTATTAGAACTATTGGATGTAATGTTACTAGAGATATTATACATCCATCCCCGAGGCATTCAATATCGACTTATTCCAACGAGTCTCGTCGGTATACTCGGTATTGTTCATTATGCATATGCGCTTCGTTGTAGATCAGATACTTATCCCTTATTGCAAAGTATTGCCCGTTTTCCAGAACTTGCTTTAATAGGAATAATCGTCATGTGTACTATATTGCATGGGGTGGCTATTGTGGTTACTGGAGGGAATGTCAGGCGTAGGTTCTTCCTTGATGCAAGGACTTTACCAACATTGAATCAGGATTACACGATGGCATTGTATCAAGTAGGAACAGCTTGTGTATGTATTACTACACGACACAAACATTCTTTTTTGTATTTTAACGTTTCCGACTTGTGTATTGACTGTTTGCATTCTCATTTCTTTACAGGTCGAAGCAACAAGAATCGACGGATTTCGTAACGAGCTCAATCCGATTGCTGTTCCAATGGGCACAGTATTTGAGACTAACCGGAAAAAGAACAAAAAAGCTAATAAGAGGCGTCCAACGTGTGGATTTGACAATGAACAATTGGATGATAGCGGAGTTTCCCTATCTCCACCCGAACAAGATGATAATCCACAGAGATTTACATTGCTAAGCAATTTCTCATATCAGTTGTTGCAAACAGTATCTGCATTTGGTGGCTGGATACTTGAATTTGTGCCATTTATTAATTTTGGACGGGCTCGTCGACAGCACATAACACCGTCTTCTGCTTCTGGCGTTGCCGCTGCTGCATCTGTCAACGCCGCTGCCCTTCAAGCAAGACAGCAAAGCCTATATCATAACTCTGAAACTGAGGTTGACGTTGAAGAAGAGTTGTATAATAAATTCCTGCAAAATGAGGCTATTGATGATCAAGATGATGACGAGTATAACGAAGACAGTCAGACCGTTGAGGGCTCGTTGGAAGATGAAGAACAAGATGAAGCTTTTGATGAAGCATATAATGAGCTGCTTTCTCTCGGAGATGACATAAGGGAACAATCACAGCATAATTCAGCCTCGAGTTCTTCTGGATTGCAACTATTTATCACTCATCTTGTTCATTCTCCAGTGCTCACTCGTACACAGTATCGTAAGCTAATCCAAACGCCACCTGCGTCTGCTGTGTATGATGAGGCTGCTGCTCTACTTACATTGATGGAAGAGCGACGGGCTGTAAGTGATACATTGACTCATCCGATTACGGATCGTCTATGTGTTATTTGTCATACTGAGCCTAGGCAATGTTTGTTGAAACCATGCAGGTGAGTTACATAGAATAATTAGTAACAATATAATATTCTCAACTAATGATCTTTCCCAACCTTCTCTCTGTGTAGATGTTTTTCCGTCTGCGATGATTGCAGGCAAGCACTGGCTCAGAAGAGATTCAAGAAGTGTCCTTGTTGTCGGAGTGATGTAGAGGGTTATTGTCGAATTTATGTACCATAGATAGTTGGTTTAATGGAAATGTGAACCACGTGTTATAATCACGATTTAATGAACATTTGTAAACGATTGTATATTCGATTCTTAAACTTTTAACTTGCACAAAATTATTCTGTCTGACCGCTCAGTGCAGAATTATATACTTAATAAAGTATGATAGAATAAGCGAGTATTATTTAGACGATACGATAATTAATATTTATTATACTGCAATGCGATCATGGCGAGGTTCGAATAGCGGCTTGGTGACACTTAAATATTCTATGATTATCAATTATTTGATATAAAAGCTCGCTCACGAGAAATGGACTTTTTTTTTGCAACTGGGGGATCGATTTGAGGGTGAGCCAAACATAGAAGTGAAAATTCATTTGAATAAAACAAGTATTATTTTATCATACGTAATAGAAGCCCAACAGTTGACTTCATTGCCATGACTAATCAATGAGCATTCTAATTCTCTTGAGGACTCATTGAATCAATGCGTCAGCGTTTTGTCTGAGCTCTAGCAATGCTAAAATAATTCATCGATGGTATTGTTACAAGTATCCATCTGGCAAATAAAATGTGTTTGTCCTTGATAATGACTCAATCTGGATATCGCGTTGTTTTCTGCAGCAATGAGGATTGCAATACTCAATGGCAGCAGCATTTTGACATCCCCTTTCAAAAAATAGAGATCCGAAAGTACGTACGTATAGTATGCTTGTGACATACTATTTCCGAATCCTTTTTGGGGAATGGTTCTGCGGGCTTGAAGTCGTCTTTCAAGTTGTCTTACATTCTATATCGCCTACGTACGGTCATACATACTGTAACATTAGCAACCTGCCGTAATTATAACCATTTCATAAATTACAATTATCCGTTATCCCATTTTAAACCTCTACAACTTGCTGCCCTTGAGCTCAAAGAAATCTTTTTTTCCCACTTGACTTCAGTCCACAAGAGGTTGTTGGTAAAAGCGAGTTTGGACAGTAACATTGTTCGAAACAAACTGATCAAAATTCTTTCTGCTAAAAGGCAAGATAGATCGTTCTGGAGCCTTCCTGTAAGCGCTGATCGAAAAATTCATGTAAAATTAAAATTCGGTTTCCATTTCTGCACACAATAATTTCCTAATTGGAAAGCATTGAAAGTCTGTTTTTGCTTGTCACATGCCATTAATATCAGACCCTACACCTATGGGCCAGCGTAGTGCAAAAGGCGATAGTGAAGTAACACAATATTCTCTGGAATGACTGTTGCGGTGAAGACACTGAACATAGTGATAGGGAAGATTTGTACAACAGTTTGTCCTAGAGGTTTTTATTGGTCATTTATTCGAATACTGCCTTTTCTTGCTATCATGTGGAAGCTAATTTTTTATAATTGTGATTATACCATTATCTGAAGCACCCGTGCAAGCGAATAATCACCCCAATAATATTCGGTTTCTAGGACTATGCAAAGGTATGCTTGATTGGCAATTTTATTGATCATCTATACGAAATAATAATAATAAACGATAAATGCTAATTATTGTATGATCTTCGAATTAGCTGACGGGGGGACTTTGTACCAATACCTGGAGAAACACTTTAAGGGTTTGATGCGGAAAGACATTTATTCACGAAGACTTGGTATGGTATTGCGGGTTTATTGTTTTGAGTTTCAATTCAAATATTAATATCATTGTATCATTTTATTCCTCATACCAATTTTACATTTAGTGATTTCGGCTTATCTATTTTCAGTCTTGGGGTAATACTATTCCATGTGACCCAAAATTTCCTGGAAACCTGAATGAAGAATATGTTAACCTGTCGGGATGAAGACCCAAACAAGCGGCCACTTTGTGAAAACGTTTATAGAGGTTGAAGTAATAAATGAGTTAAACGAGAATTAGGGAAAGTGTTTATCTTGGTCTTGGTCAGTATCATAGTGCTTTGAAGGATCATTAAAATTAAACCCAAGAAATACACTGCATTGAGAATACAGTAATGCTCACTCAGAAATATAAATATAACATTTTCAAGAAATGTTCATTTCCAAGCCGAGATTTCTTTGATATGCAGTACAGTACTCAATGTATTCGAAATTTCCCGTTATATGAACCAAAAATTGATCTTATCACATGACGTTAATATGTGGTGCCTTTCTGTTGTTAACCTACCATTACCATGTTGAAGAACCAAACGTCAAACAATATCAATATATATATAAAATGGATAAATGCAAGCATTCAAGGAGGCAGTATTTATTATTGTCCGAAAAGTGACATAATATTAGATCCTACACCCATTGGCTATGGTTCATCCGGCATAGTACAAAAGGCGACAGTGAGGCGTTCTGGACTTACCTGGTCAATCTTTGGCAAGAAGCACAATATTCTTTCTGGGAAGACTGTTGCGATAAAGACTTTAATCTTAACCGAACACAGTAACAAGGAAGATGTATACAAGCAGTTTGCTCGAGAGGTTCCTATTCGTCATTCCTTACTGCTGCGCTTGCTTTACATGCATATAGATTATAAGCTGATTTGGTTATTACTGTTATCATTAGGTAAACAACCATAAGCTGGTGAACGATCACCCCAACATAATTCGGTTTCTAGGTCTATGCCAAGGTATATTTGAATGACGACCTTATTCACTTGTTATAGTTAATCTCGCTTCTTATGACATAAAAGCAGATACAAATGATAATTATAGCATGATCTTCGAATTAGCTGATGGCGGGACTCTGCGCCAACACCTTGAGAAACGCTTTGATGAACTGACGTGGCAAGATAAATATCAATTAGGTTTAGGAATTGTCGATGGTTTAAGATACTTGCACTCGCTTGATATTATCCATAAGGATTTGGTAGTGTATTGCAGATTGAATGTTTTCCCCTCTTCTTTCGTTTCAATTCAATATCATTGTATTTATTTTATTTCTCACGCCAATTTTATCTAGTCTTCCAATAATATTCTTATCCAATTAGGCATTGCAAAAATAACTGATTTTGGCTTATCTCGCGTATTGAAACGAGTGATGTCTACATCACGTGGGAACGGTACCCCAGCATACAAAGATCCGGCATCTTTTACGAAGCTGAATGAAGATTTGGAGTTGGGAGAAAATCAAAAACCAAATAGGCGCGGAAAGACATCCGATATTTTCAGTCTTGGAGTAATACTTTGGGAGATCTCCAGTGGAAAGATTCCTTGCGAAGGACGCACTCAAACTTACGCAATTTTTATGTACAGAAACAATGGTTCTCGTGACGCCCCTTTTCCTGGGACGCCTGAAGAATATATTAAATTGTATACAGAATGTTGGGATGAAGACCCCACTAAGCGGCCATTATGTGAAAATGTTTATAAGAGATTGAAGTATTGTGACGCAATAAGTGGTTTTAACAATTTGTTAGTGATTGAACCAAACAACGCATGCGCATTGAGAAATAGAGGAGGTGTCTATCTTAATCTTGAACAGTATGATGATGCACTAAGGGATCTTAACAAATCGTTGGACATTGAACCTAATAATGAATATGCATTGAGAAGTAGGGGAAATGTCTATAATAGCCTTAAGCAGTTTAATGATGCATTAAGCGACTTCAACAAATTGTTGGAGATTGAACCAAATAATGCATGCACATTGAGGAATAGAGGAAGTGTCTACTATGGTCTTAAGCAGCATATTGATGCACTAAATGATTTCAACAAAGCATTGGAGATTGAACCAAATAACGCATATGCATATAGTAGAAGAGGTAGTGTTTATCTTGATATTATGAAGTACAAGCATGCACTAAATGATTTCAACAAATCTTTGGAGATTGAATCAAATAATGTATATGCATTGAGTAGAAGAGGAGGTGTCTATCTTTATCTCAAACAGTATAAGGATGCATTAAATGATTTTAATAAATCATTAGAAATTGAACCAAATGATGAATATGCGTTGAGAAACAGGGGAAATGTCTACAATAATCTCAAACAGTATAATGATGCATTAAACGATTTCAACACATTTTTGGAGATTGAACCAAATGATGTATGGGTATTGAGAAACAGGGGAGTTGTCTATTATAAGTTAAAGCAGTGTAAGGATGCATTAAATGATTTCAACACATTGTTGGAGATTGAACCAAATGATGCATGGGCTTTGCACAAAAGAGGAATGGTCTATAATGATCTTAATCAGTATAATGATGCAATAAATGATTTCAACAGATCATTAGAGATTGAACCAAATAATGCATACTCATTGAGAAATAGGGGAAGTGTCTATAATAATCTTAAACAGTATGACAATGCATTAAAGGATCTTAACAAGTCATTGGAGATTGAACCAAATAACACATTTACATTAAGTAGAAGAGGGTGTGTCTATTATGGTCTTGAGCGCTATGATGAGGCATTGGATGATTTCAACAAATCATTAGAGATTGAACCAAATAATGCATATGCATTAAGTAGAAGAGGAGGTGTCCACCTTTACATGATGAAGTATGAGGATGCATTAGATGATTTCGACAAATGTTTGAAGTTCGAACCAAACAATACATATGCATTAAGTAGAAGAGGAGGTGTCTATCTCGAACGTATGCAATATAATGACGCGCTAAACAACTTTAACCAAGCATTAGAGATTGAACCAAATTGCGCATATGCATTAAGTCGAAGAGGAAATGTCTATAATAATCTTAAGCAATACGATGATGCATTGAAGGATCTCAACAAATCGTTGGAGGTTGAACCAAATGATGCATGAGTATTGAGGAGCAGGGGAATTGTTTACAGTAATCTTGAGCGGCATGATTTTGCACAAAACGATTTCAAGAAAGCGTCGGAGATTGATCCGAACGATGGATGGACTTCACTAAACCCCAAGAAAGAGATAACCACTCAGAACTATCGAAGAATTAGAAGCGCTTTTTAAAGACGATTTTCAGTAAATGTGTTGGAGCCAATGATGTATACACGTTGAGAACGTCTGGACACATTTAGGGGCACTTTAAATAGTAAGCTAATTGATTGAATGATTAAACTACACTGGATCATATAAATGATTGACAGCAATAGGTACATAGTGAACCAATAGAACGAAGGGGACTCTTACGAATCTTTTTTCGTCATTATACCGTGTATATCCTGTATTTATATAAATCAAAGTACGCAAAATAACTGTAACATATTTATTATTATTATTATTACTATTATTATTATTATCTAGAAAAATTTCCTGTTAACTTTATATTGCATGCATTCTTTTATTGGCACATTTTCATCAAACGTTTTTGACGTGCTAAAATTCTAGAGTAATTTCTGATATTCTTTTTCCTAAACAAGCTACTATTACTATTAGTAATTTCAGAAGGATTCGCTTTTTTGCTTTACAATTTAGTTCAGTAAAAGCGTAATTAGCTACAAAGCTTCCATGCATTGAGTTTAATATGTTCAGTATAATAAATTAAGCCATTACTTTTGTAATAGCCCCAGTGAATCAGTTGTTTTTATTCTGTCTGCCCGCAATGTCTTTGTTTATTATCAAAATTATGATACATGTAATTAAACCCCTTTCCTATAATTTGTCTCATTAAGGACGTTGCTTTTTTATCTGAACGCTAAATTGTTCAGTAAACAGTTTAAATACGTACGTATATCGTGTCAAGCTGGTTGACGACTGTGCGAGAACTATAAAACGATTCATGCCAATGTATACTCAGTCCTAGAATTAGATAGCTATAAAGGCGTTAGAATATGTAATGATTTGCTTTGTTTGGTTATTACTATGTTGTGATTAACAAGAGCATATAATAATAAATAATTTGATATGCCTACGGAAGAAAGATGGTAAGACAAACCAAGAAGTTTTAGAGCAGGTAAGTAAAATACATAATTCAGCGTTTAGATGTTGAAATGCTATGTCTTAGTTCTTATGTATATCCCCTCCCCAAAAAGAGCGTACAAAACTTTATTTATTAATGGCATGCTAATCGTATTACATCCTGTATTAAGGTGGAAGAATATTAATTATTTGGTGTATAATAATAGGCTTGCACATAACATAAGATTTTTGCTTTGTAAAAAAGATTTCGTATTTGTTTAAGTAAGTTGTTTTCATATATGCAACAAACAGAGTAGTTTTACTATCCGAAGCGACTAGACGGAAAGCGGTATGGTATCATCACTGAGTATATGGAAATTGAGTTGTCACATCACAAGACTTGGGAACAATAATCGCCAATCCTTACCAAATTTAGAACTGTATGTGTAATTCTGGTTTTATTGTGTAGCTGGTCCAAAAAATCTCATTTTGCTTCAGTCGAGACTATGGAAGTTGCAACACTTACAACAGAGCAATCTCAAAGCAAAGGCGATATACCAAAAAACAATGGCACCAAACCACAAGGAAAGAACAGACGCAAGAAAAAGAGGAAAGGAGTCAATAAAGAGAAGACAAAGGAAATTGCGATTGAGGTGGGTTCATTACTGTGATTCGTCAAGAGTTATATGTGATGAGATATTATCTCATTTACGCTCTTCTCATAGTACTTGTATGCCAGCGAACCGTCAGTGGTATACCAACGTTTACTGACTCTTAAAATACCTCCCTCGCCTATGATTTCTTCCACAACAGAATAAGCAAATAATCGAAGATCAAGAAGAAATAGAAATAGAGTATGTATCACAACCATTGGATTTACCTAACGATCCTAACTTTGAAGAATTCTCAAAGGTTTTTGCCCATTTTCAGATTACCGCCGAAGAGACTGAGGTACTTTCACATCCTGTCCGCTGCTGCCTAATAATACCCTTCATATAGTTTTATACGTCTTACACTTGTAAACTTATCAGATTCTAGTTGAACTCAAAGAGGAAGAAAAAGCAGAGACTCCTGCAGCCCTGACAGAGGCCAGAATTAGCGATTCGGAAGATGAGAGTACAATCGACTCGGACAGCGACAGGGGTGAAAAAGTATCAAAGAAAAAGCTGCGAAAATTGAATCGGTTGAGTGTGGCTCAACTGAAGCAGCTGGTTAAAAGACCGGAGGTTGTTGAGGTTGGTAAAAGCGAACAAGGCTATGAGATAATTTAATAAAATGGAAACTAATGCCAAAGTTTTCGCTTCTTTAGTGGGTAGATGTGACAGCAGCAGACCCCAAATTACTTGTACATATCAAGTCATACAGAAACACAGTTCCTGTTCCTCAACATTGGTCACAGAAGCGCAAGTATCTTCAAGGCAAGAGGGGAATTGAAAAGCCTGCCTTTGAATTGCCTGGTCAGTAAAGGTTTATGCTCGTGATCTCAATACGTTTATCTTATTCAATCGGTTCGGCGATATTTCTTGCTAAAATTAATCCTGTGGTCATCACAACTACTATAGATTTCATTAAAGACACCGGTATAATGGAAATGCGCGAAGCAGTAAGAGAAAAAGAAGATGCCGCCAAACTCAAGCAGAAAACACGCGAAAGAGTGCAACCCAAGATGGGGAAATTAGATATCGATTATCAGAAATTGCATGATGCTTTCTTCCGATTCCAGACCAGGCCTAAACTTACCATTCACGGTGAACTGTATGATGCTTCAAAATTCTGATGGCATGATTGCATTTTGATATGAATGACAACATGGTTGATTTTCTTTACGTTTTCACTTCACTATTCTTCAAGTTACTATGAAGGAAAAGAGTTCGAAACTAAATTGAAAGAGAAGAAACCAGGACAGCTTTCTGAAGAATTAAAGGCGGCTTTGAACATGCCTCCACTAGCGCCACCCCCTTGGCTGATCGCCATGCAACGATATGGACCACCGCCGAGTTATCCCAATTTAAAGATACCTGGTCTAAATGCGCCCATACCTGAAGGGTAAGGTTAAATAGAATTTGGAAGAACTAGAGAAAGCGGATTAGAGGGAGAGGGACAAAAAAGAATATATTTGTACGAGGGTTCTATTAAAATTTACGACTGTATAAACAAATTCTGACGTTTAGGGCACAGTGGGGATTTCATCCTGGTGGATGGGGAAAACCGCCTGTTGATGAGGTAAGACATGTTAATTTAATAATTGGCAAAGACCATACAGTTTTTTGTGCTGATTATTTATTTTTATTCTAGTATAATCGACCACTCTATGGAGATGTGTTCGGAACATATCAGCAGGAAATACCTTCCGAGGTTCGTATGTCTATGTGTACACAGATTGAATATACATTTATTGAATTTTTTTTTTGTAAATCTAAAGATGGTCCAACCTATTGAGCGAAAACTATGGGGAGAATATGAGCCAGAGGAAGACGGTACATTACAACTCATTTATTTGTCACATTCTTGTATCATTATTCATATAGGATGATGAACAGCATTATTATTACTGAAGTCTCTAATCATCTAACGACTCTTTGCATTCGCATTAACAATATTATTGTCCCCCCTTTTCTTCCCTTTTCACTTGGCTTCAGAGTCGGAAGAGTCGGAAACAGAAGAAGAACAAGAAGAAGGAGTTGAAGAAGATGTCTCATCTAAAGCCTTACAAGAAGGACTAGTTACCCCAAGTGGGCTATCATCTGTTCCCAGTGGACTGGAGACACCTGATTATATTGAATTACGCAAGTATCAGAATGGACCACCTGCACCTGCACCTGCTGCCGCTAATGTACCGCCTTCTTTGGCTAGTGGATTGGAGACGCCCGAGGTTATTGAACTGAGGAAGTATCAGAGGTATGAATTGCAGTTGTAGAGTCACATATGTAGTCGGGAGAGATATGGAATTGATAGATCAACAAGTATGTGATTATTCTGCTAATATATGTTGCGGTGTTAAATAGAGCCGAAGAAGAAGAGCCAAAACAATTATATACGGTTCTTCCGCAGAAAGAGACATCGATCACAGGGTTCATGGGATCTCAACACGTATATGATATATCAAATGCCACCGGCACATCTAAAGGAACGAAGGTGAGCACGTCACAATCTATTTCACCAGACACCTCGATTATAGTTCTAATTTATTGTAAATTATTCAGCGCAAGGCAGTGGGGGCCGGAGTGGAAGTTGCATTGGATCCGTCTGAAATGGCGAATCTTGACGAAGAGACTTTGCGCGCTAAGTTTGACGAAGCTCAGGCGGTAAGAATGTTATCTTTTAATCCTTTCATAATGGGTCGTTCATTCCACGTTCTTACACTGTTTTTTTGTTTATTCTTTGCAGGCCAGTCGACCAGAAGGAGCTCATGAAGATCTCTCGGATATGGTTGCTGAGCATGCAAGTAAACAGGCTAAAAAGCGTCAAAAGATTGCAGATGCCAAGGCTGCGGCACGTGATGCTGGGTCTGGTGGACAGGCCCCTACAAAGAAGTACAAAGAGTTCAAATTCTAGATTTTGTGATATGAAATTGAGAACGTAAGTGAGAATGTCATAGTTTGGAGTTTGTGAGTGAACGAATTAAATGGGAATAAAGAAGTTTAGAATAATGTTAATGTTGAAATCAAAGCGATTTGGTGGGTGATGAGGATTAACTTTCAATAAGTTTTCGCCCAGAGACGATAATTGAAATGAGATAATGCTAGCTCTATGTTGATATATATAAACTACGCTGTATATTTAGATTTGTGGGATTTCTCTGCTCTTGTCTATAGTAATAGTAATCATAATATTTACAAGATTTCATAAATATTGAGATAAATATTAATGCTATGTGACTCTTTTTGATCATAGTATAACTCTTATTTCACAGCAAGCTCGTTATATTATATAAAATTAAGATAGACTAAGACATCATCTCCCTCAAAGCCCATGCATCATTATTATACTGCCCAAGGTCATAATAGACACCTCAATGTCCTAGCCATGCATCATTTGGTACAATCAACAAATATGTGAATTTCATGAACATAGGATTTTCGGATGGATTGTAACATATCAATAGTAATAGTAGGCATACTCTATTTCTCCGGAGAGAATCAAGGCTCCATCAAGCAGTGCCTGGACCGAGCGCCATTTTCATCTCGATCCATTACAGTCCCACAATTTTGGTACTTGTACATCTCGGACCCTCCTATTTTTTGAACAGCTGCAGGTATAGGCCTCATTTTGGATAATAATATGGACCCCTAATTCTTCTGCTTTGGCCGCTAGATGTTGGCGAAATTGATAGTGGCCCCAACAGAGCATTTTACGAACGGTTTTTCGTGTTATTAATCTCTCTTGTTTTTTGATTTATCATATTCGACACCTCAAAAGGAGGGATGATAATGGCATCAAATTTGCGAGTAAAAAATGCGACACTCTTTTTATGAACCTCACTTTGCAGGTGTTTGATTTTTTCGTCGCGTCTGAAAGATGGCCTTTTTCTTCTTACGTTTTGAACTAGTGGCAGCCAGCTTGTCCTTTATAAAAAGAAGATTATCCATATGTTTGCATAGACGAATAATTTGTCCAATGTTGTATTGGCCAATTTTACCTACTCCTTTAGTAGGAGAGTACCATGTGAAGAATGTACGAACGCCAGGGTCATGGAAACTGCATGAATAGAACTACCGCTTGGGTTACGCGGGAGTTGTTTTTGCGTCTCGTAAACCCACGAAAATTTCCATCATTAGTTTTGCGAATATATGTGGTCTTGCAATCGGATGTTATTCTGTGAGGAACAGGCCACTTATTATTATGCCTTGTCGTCCAGAGTGATAACAGGCTTGTGACGGTATGCGGAAAGCATTGATGGATTATGGAGATGGGTGATATAAAAACGGTTCCACGTGGATTTTGACAAAGACGAACTAAATAAATAAATAAATAAATAAATATTCATCGCTGCAGATTGTTGAACAACCGGTATAAATGCATTTTGCTAACTATAACCCGTTAGAATATACTGTCAATCATTCTTTTTCGCTCCCTGCGCCTATTTATAGCTTTACCATGCCCATGTTTTCAACAGTAATTCTAAGTTGATCGAGATTCTGCTTTATATCGTCGTTTGTAATTTTAAGGATAAAAGCACTTTAGTAATTCGACGACTACTCAATCTTGATTTGTCTAAAATCCCGAAATAAAGTTGTGTTACACACATATTAATATCAGATCATCCAAATTTAAATTCTCTATATTAATATCAAGACAGAACATCTTATACATCATAATCAAGGAAGCACACGAGATTATAAGTCACGGGTTCGTTTTGGTTAGCTCTTTGCGTGACACAACAGTCTAAAACTATTTAACCCAAAAAGACTGAACACGCTTTTCGTCATGTATCTTATTTCAATGCCATAAGTATGGATTATAATACTGCACACTCAAAATTCACCAGGACATACTATGGTCCATGTGCGGTACCCATACACCACGGTGGACGAAAACGCTCAAGGAGCAATAGTCTAAACTCAGTTGAGCAACCACAGGTACTGCTTATTACTTCATCAGTTGCTATTCTGACTTCTGTGACCATATAATAGCTAAGATTATAACTTCTAACACAGAAAAATATGAAAATATATAATCCTTCTGCTCGACTACGCTTATCTCCGGGGCATGCACCTCTGTCATCGCTCCATGAAATAAGTGAACAAAATAGGGGAGAACCACTTAGAGAGCTGAATACTAAAACCCAGGCAATGAGTGTGCAAGAGGATGTTGAGCTCATGGAATGCGATATATCACCTAATGATAATTTGGACGATAATACGGTGAGATTAGATTTTACTATTAACCATTGTTATTTACGTTAATGTGTGCAGACGTTGTTGCGATACTAAATGAAGTACCTTTCTTGCAGGCAAAACCAGAACCTTTATGTGTTCGGACATGTTCACCTCCATCCAAATATCATCGAAACAGACATATACAGCTACCATATACAATGGGCTATCGTGACGATTGTGAAAAGTGCCGACAGAGAGTACCCGGTCATTATTCACATGTAATAACTAATAAATAGAACTTGATACCGTAAAGAATGTGGACTGGATCATAAAAGTGATTGATATCAGATTAAGAAGGACCATAGAATCAAGACGATGGTATTGATATAACATCAGCGGCTAGCTGAAACGTCGACGAATTTGCAGGGAAGGAACAGTGAGTGCCATATAGAAAAGGACTATTTGATAGAGACTCAACAATGGATTAAGATTCAATGGGGGTTGGAACGCAATTCTAATTCCGAAATCCTTTGTTCGTTGGTTGCTCGAGACTTTTAATACAGAACAGCTACTTCTTTAACAACTCACAAATATCGGTCTGGGCACGCCTCTAAAAAAAGTACTACTGCAAGTATCGATGTTTTAGACTATTTAATTGATTCTAATTGCAAACCATGGACAGACATGGGTTTGTGAGCAGATTAGGCAATCGTATTGACGGAGATTATTTGGTTCTCTCGGATCTATTTTCGTACGATGCCGTACTTCCCACAAACGATTTGCATGTCATATTTTCTTACTGTACAGCTTTACTGGGTACTGAAACCTTACGACGGCACATTGATTTGTCATGAGTCCACTATTTTTGTATTATGCGATGACAATTTTGTTTTTTGAGTTAAAAGGTGATGAAATTGATGGGATGCAAGGAAGTGGGTGGGGTGGGTCAGGAATTGTTTAGTGTTTCAGGAGTGTGAAATAAAATTTCGATTTTCTCCCCTTGTCGCAGCAGCTCGATATCAATGAACATGCAAATTTGTATAAATATTTGAATGCTTTGCAGTCTGCAGGTGCAAACTTGAAATCATAAATCAAGTGAATGCACATTCGGCACTCTCTTCATTGATTCGCAACTCATAGATTTACAAAGAACTTTGTCCTTAGACCTTTTATATAAGAATTATAGGTTAAAATTCTTCAAAGTTGAGTGGTGATGGTCCGCGACAAGCTAAAAATAATAGCCATTACGCAATTGGGCCTTTCAAGGGGTTTTTGCTTTTGTTAAAAGATGTACGTTTTTGGATAAATGCCAAACTAACATTGAATTCCAATTGTTATTGTAATATATAACCAACCATTGTAATGTCTAGTTGAGTTGATACTTTGTATTTAATGCATACTTTGTGTAAGACTCCTGACGATTAAAAAGTGAGCATGAGAAGAGGCACGTTCTGAGTCCACCACAATTGCAAGAAATGAGACAATCTCCTATAAAGATATTTTATTATAGAGGGAAATTTGATATTGTTGTACTTTAGTTGAGGAACTGTCTCAGTCCTGGAGAGACAACTGAGTTCTGGGCTGAGTGACTGGGTTCCGAACTGAGACAGGTCCCAAACTCAGACACATCAATATCAGGGACATAGTTTTGTAGAGTGCTTACGTTCGTGTTTACTCTCTCTAAGAATCTTTTTAAGAGATGGTAAACGCATTTTTATTATTTTAAAAATAAACCGCATACAATAAGAAGCGATTGACTACGTGCTCAATCATAGCTTGAAGTAACATACATTACCATTCAATTTACTAACTGAAGACAGATATTGTTTACCATACTCGAGACCTATCAATATAAGATTGGTCGACAGTGCCAAAATCAAATTCATAAATGCTCTTATTGAAGTTATTCTTGAAATTTGATTTTGGCGAAGGCATAAATTTAGTTGGAGATTTTACAATGCTGTACCTACAATTACAAAGCATATAAAGCATCAAGACAAGATATTCAATATGTCAAGAAACGGTGTCCATCGAAAAAACCAGATTGCCGATTTACTATATCCTAATGCATATAAAATCTGTATCATGTCATGACTCTTATCGAGTATTCGATTGGTCTCACGTCTCAGATAATCATCTCGCTCAATTTAAATGTTAAATTTCTAGGTACCAAACGAGTAATATGAAGTTATCCAAACCGTGATGTTGGACATTTCTTTTCGGACAGTCATGCGATCAACAACATAGGATGACTCCATACTTTGAGACGCTTAACAGAACGCCGAAAATATACTAAGCCATTTTGATAAAATCTTGGTTACAGTTGAGCGAAAATTATATTTGAAATGTTTGCAAGGTTTAAAGTAGAATTTTGTTTCGCATATTCACAAATTTCGCGTTTATTATTATTATCAAGAATATTTATTGTGCTTTATGATTGTGACTGTGTCATAGTAATGGGATCCAAAATCGGCAATTGTAAGGAAAATAAACACTAGTACTAGTGAATTAGAGCATAAGCAAATGTGACTATATTGGAGGTGACTGTATGGGAGGTGACTGTATGGGAGGTGACTGTATGGGAGGTCGACTTGTATCTATCAACTCGAGATTTTTATTTGGATAATCATTCTCCATGGTCGATTTAAGTTGATAATCTTACGGATCATGTCTTCATTTCTTAACCATGACTGCAAATTACAAAGACAGAAATTTCGTAGCTGTTATCGGAGATGAGGTATTTTCCACTAATGCTTTGTATTTCGCTTCGTTCGCTCAAACCCTGTTGCTATAAGGACTCGGTTACGGGACTATTGTTGGCCGGTGTAGGCCATATAAATACACAACAAAAGCCAAACTTCTTGGTTGTGGATGCCAGTAAGAATTATGGTCTAATTTATAGCATTTTATAATACGTCCCTGTCAGTTTTGCTAATAATTCTTGTTAAATATATTAGAAACACCGCTATCGAAGATAGAAGAAACTTTCATGGAGTTCACAAAGAGAAAGGATATAGCCATTGTTCTAATAAATCAGCATGTGAGTGTATCTACTGTATCATAATAGAATCTACTGCAACGTACAATTATTCACCTTCACATACCGAACACATACTCATGTATTGTAACAGATTGCTGACCTTATAAGACCGCTAGTAGACGACCATGACCAAGCCTTTCCAACTGTCCTTGAGATTCCATCGAAGGATCATCCATACGGTAAGCAAAATTTTGATTATGAATAGGAGATCATATAAGCAAGCTATTGATTCATTTTCTTGTATGCACTAGATTCTGAGAAAGACAGCGTACTTAAGAGAATACAACGGCTGTTTGGTGAATAATATTGTTATTGGAGTAATTCCTGCTTTTTGGACTTGTCTAGCTGTAAATCACAATTATAAACGTACCAACAATAAAAAATTATTTTGTTTTTGTATTAATGATAAACTGTTCGTTTTGTTATTCGCTGTTTGAAATGTAATAAAATATTTTAGTGCAGCAAAGCCATGTTTTCTGTTCTCAGAAAAAGTATTAGATTAGAAACGAACTATGGTGAAGCACTTTAAATGAAAAGGAAGTAAATGTATTTATCAGAATATTTTTGAGGTACAATTTACCATTCAACGATATATGGCTCGGATGTCCACCTCAATTGCATCTGGATATTCTGGTTTACGATCGAAAAGATGAAAAAGGTCATATCGCCCAACGAAGACGGCACGTCAAGCCTTGTTATATATTGAATGTTGACTTATATCCTTGCGCTCTTTTATCGTTCAAGTGAACAATACCGACGTGCCACTTGCGAAGCGCAAGTAACAATTTTCACGTCACATTTAGAAACTCAAACCAATGCTGTTCCTCAAAGGGGATGTTCACTATTGTTATTTATGAACGTACAGCATTTATCGTTTGTTCTTTTTGAGCATAAACGCGATGTAAGGCTAGCAAAATCGTCTTTTGCATTAATTTATTGGTTTTATTGAGTTTATGTTTTTACCAAATCATTTTTAATTAAAAATTGCACGTAGGCCTATACTTCTACTGGGACAGTACCCCAGATACTTTCAGCATACTCCTTAATGGCGCGATCCCTGTTGGTATAGGACACATATGTTAAATAAACTGTGCGCACTAAAACAACAGCTTCAAATTATGACTGAATAGATCTTCTTTCAATTATTGATACTTACGAAGAAAACTTGCCCATATTTGCAGTGCATAATATACTCTTCTTAGCCCAATCCTTCTCGTTCTTATAAGCTTCTTCAACGAGCTTCTGGGCATCCAGATACGACCCAAAGTCGTCAGAAATAAGATAATAGTCTTTTCCAAACGTCAAAGTGTTGATCAATGGAGCAAAGATACGCGCTTCACCGAAGCTTCCAGATTCAATGTCCTTTATTACAGCATTCAAATGCGGGTCCATTGTGACATCACGGTATCTAAGAGAGAATATAAATGTTTCATTCTATAATCTCGTATAGAGATCCCAAACAACTCAGCAACCCAAAATACCTGTGCGCGTATCTCAGATCTTCCACTTGCTCAGCCAAATGCCCGAACATAAAAATGTTGTCGTCTCCAATCTCCTCGTGAATCTCAATATTAGCCCCATCAACCGTTCCAAGAATTAAACCACCATTAAGAACAAACTTCATGTTACTCGTTCCAGAGGCTTCGGTGCCAGCCGTGGAGATGTGTTGCGAGATATCCGAAGCAGGAACGATAATTTCTGCCACGGAGACGTTGTAATCAGGAATGAAAATAACCTTAACAAAAAATGCATCTTGCTTAATGAAATGCCTCGGGGGTAGCAAGAAGTACAACAACATTGAGTAAACTTATTACCTTCAAAAGGTCTTGAATGTTTGTATCCTTGTTTACGACGCTGGCTACACTATTTATGAGCTTAATCACGAGCTTGGCTATGTAATAGCCTGGAGCGGCTTTGCCACCAAAAATCACCACACGGGGCACAACATTGCGCATTTTTTCTGGCGACATGCTCTTAATGTTGTTATAATGATGGATTACCCTATAAAAAGTGACTGCAAGTGAGATAATGATACTACTGACTATACGCAACAACATTTTGCCATGACGTACCCAAGAATGTTCATGAATTGCCGTTTGTACTCATGTATTCTCTTAACTTGGACGTCAAATAACGCATTTGGATTAACGTCAATATCCATAACATCGCGAATGTAATCTGCTAATCTCACCTAGAAGTAAGTTCAATATTGACAGCTTAGTGGTTTTGATTCCGCTTTCGATACATGAAAACTGT